TAATTAAATAAGCAAAAATTAAAAACGTTGGGAGCTTTAGTTTATTATTATTTGGGGACTACTATTTCGTCATTGTTCTCTTAGGAGCCCTGCACTCTGGACTAAAGGCAAGATTCCAGAGAGCTTCGAGGGCTATTGTTACTGATGTAACTTAGCTGAGGCTTGGGCACGGGCTGCCCAGCCAGCCTCACCGTGGTGTATTCACTTACATACTCAGGTTTTTCTAGATCCTGAAGTTTTGCAAGTGTCCACAATTGAAGTAGGCATTTAAAAATATTTAATCTTATCATTGAATTATATTTTTCTTTCGAGTTTTACAGAGACATGTTTGGAAAAATCCCTCAGATGGTGTAATTATAGCTATGTGAATTCTGCCTGCCTGCCTGAGGACAAGGGCCTGAGGGGACTGTGCAGAAATAAACCTGGTTTTGTTGGGATGGAGACAAGAGCTCTATTCCCACCCCCAGAAACCTACTTCGATGTCATTACATTGTCTTCAAACAGATAAAAATAGCATGGAAGACTTACGTAGCTTTTAAATTTAGGGCAGCTTCTAATTTACTCAGTGTCTCCTAAATTCCACTGTACACTGCAGTTTATAAAGCTAATGGAAATTTCCCATTTTAAAATTAACTTGGAATGTCCTCTCTGGATTTTAAATTGATAAATTGCAAGAGTGCTTTAGATGGTACTGATTTTGAATCTTGGATGCCAGCTCTCTTGGATGCCAGCTCTCTAATTTATATGCACATGATACAGATAGGATGGGGGGGAAGGCCACGCTCCACCCCCACCCCTCCACCCCATTCTAGCTGTGGGCTCTGTCTCAGAGACCCCAGTGCATTTTTGGAAACAGAAACTGTAATTTGAGATGTTTCGGTGTGTGGGTTGTTGAGACCTGGCCTGGGTTGGAGCCCCTATACCCATTCACAGCTCTGCTGATCACTGGCTGTCTTCCTCTTGTGTTTCTTCCACTTTGCCCCTCTGGCCTCAGGCTTCTCACCTGTAAAATGGGATCATATCAGTTCCTCCATCCAGGTTGCTGGGAGGCTGAAATGAGATCCTTCTGGCCAGGCAGCTAGCCAGCAGCCAGCAGGTTGTGAAAGTTCATGAAAGGTTATCTGGTGTTAATACTTTTATAATTGTTATTTTCGTATGGGTGCCAATTTTTCAGGAAAACTTGCCAATTCATATTGCCTGCCAACAAATAGTTGATTTTCCGAGATATGGAAATGGAAATAACAGCACATCTCTTTTCTTGTTTGGGGCCTGCAGATCATAGCGAATCATCACATGCAGTCCATCTCCTTCGCCTCTGGGGGGGATCCGGTAAGTGGCCTCGGAGTTGTTTCTTGGGCTCGTGTCAGGAGTTTCTGAGAAGGGTGCTTCCGAAGGGTGCATCTTAAGACACTATAAGGAAAGGTAACTACGATGCCAGTGATTTTCCCTCTCGTGATTTCAAAACCTCTTCTGGACGTCTGGACTATCTTTTTTTTTTTTTTTTTTTTTTTT